AAGTACTTAATTCGTTCTGGAGGTCCGTTCTTAACCTGAAACTGTTCTTAACCTGAAGCACCACTTTAGCTAATGGGGCCTCCTGCTGCTGCCGTGCCACCGGAGCACGATTTCTGTTCTCATCCTGAAGCAAAGTTCTTAACCCGAGGTACTATTTCTGGGTTAGCGGAGTTTGTAACCTGAAGCGTATGTAACCCGAGGTACTACTGTGTGTGTGTGTGTATAATTTATTAGTTTTTTAACATACCATTTTCAACAGTGATTAAACACACTTTTACATCTTATTCAATTTTTTTTTTACTTCCATCAGTCCTGTCTGGAAATTTTTCAGTCTAATCGCTTAGTATGCATTTGTTATTTTCCCTATTACAGTGGTACCTCGGGTTACATACGCTTCAGGTTACAGACTCCGCTAAGAACAGTTTCAGGTTAAGTAGGGACCTCCGGAACGAATTAAGTACTTAACCCAAGGTACCATTGTACATTTCAAACTCATAACCAATATCTCTATCTTTTTTCTACTTTGTAACACTTCGTATATTTCTCCTTACAAAACATATTGTAGTCCTACTAGCGTAATTTGTTGATTACAGTTCAAATAATTCATATACTTCTTCCAATCTTCTGTAAATCTCTGGTCCTGCAGGTTTCAAATCCTTCCTGTCATTTTGTCCAATTCTGCATAGTCCATTAATTTCATCTGCCATTCTTCTTTCATCACTCCCCCCTAATTTGAGCAAGTGTTAGGGACGGAGAGTCTTCACAAGTTTACCCAAGACCTGTACCTTCCCAGCCGACTCCGGTTGTGCAGAACCACCAAATACGTACATTAATGTTAGTCTTTTTTTTTCGCAAGCCCAGGGTGATGTTACAAAACAAACTGGCCTCAGCTGTGGCACGTCTTTGAGAATACACACAAGAAGAGTATTAAGTTCTGGCTCTGAGAACGCAGTAGCCACATTCACACCATGAATTTAAAGATGCGATTGATGCCACGTTTAACAGTATGATTTCCCCTCAAAATCCTGGGAACTGTAGTTAGTTAAGGATGCTGAAAGTTGCTAGAAGACCCCTATTCCACCTTACAGAGCTACAGTTTCCAGAGTTTCCTGAGAAGAGGGATTGGTTGTTCAACCGCTCTGCAAATTGTAGCACGGTGAGGTGGAATAAGGGTCTCTTAGCAACTCTCAGCACTCTTAACAAACTACAGGTCCCAGGATTCTTTGGGGTAAGCCAAATGTGCTTTAAACATCACCTTGCTGGCAAAGGTCCGTGTAGTTAAAGCTATGGTTTTCCCAGTCATGATGTATGGAAGTGAGAGCTGGATCATAAAGAAGGCTGATCGCTGAAGAATTGATGCTTTTGAATTATGGTGCTGGAGGAGACTCTTGAGAGTCCCATGGACTGCAAGAAGATCAAACCTATCCATTCTGAAGGAAATCAGCCCTGAGTGCTCACTGGAAGGACAGATCGTGAAGCTGAGGCTCCAATACTTTGGCCATCTCATGAGAAGAGAAGACTCCCTGGAAAAGACCCTGATGTTGTGAAAGATGGAGGGCACAAGGAGAAGAGGACGACAGAGGACGAGATGGTTGGACAGTGTTCTCGAAGCTACCAGCATGAGTTTGACCAAACTGCAGGAGGCAGTGGAAGACAGGAGTGCCTGGCATGCTCTGGTCCATGGGGTCACGAAGAGTCGGACATGACTAAACGACTAAACAACAACAGCAATGCATCAGCCCCATCCTTGATCGTGTGTGCGCGCATGCATGCATGTTTCCAAAAGCAGAGCAACTTTTAATAGTACCTGTTTCAAATACAGATCTGATGAATTATGCATGACTAAATGAACAAATGAAAATAACATGATGAGCAGCAGAAAGATACTGTGGTTTATCCACACTTACCTTCCCTCTGTGCTTTCCGGGCAATGTCCACACTTTAAAGCTTTTAAAGGGTCTAAGCACCCTTTTTCGGGTCCTGAGTTTAAAGCTGAATCAGAGCACAGACTGTTGTTTGGAATGTCTGCAGATTGACCTCCATATTACAGTGGTACCTCGGGTCAAGTACTTAATTCGTCCCAGAGGTCCGTACTTAACCTGAAACTGTTCTTGACCTGAAGCACCACTTTAGCTAATGGGGCCTCCTGCTGCCACCGCACCGCCGGAGCACAATTTCTGTTCTCATCCTGAAGCCGACTTCTTAACCTGAAGCACTATTTCTGGGTTAGCAGAGTGTGTAACATGAAGCGTATGCAACCTGAGGCGTATGTAACCTGAGGTACCACTGTACTGGTTGTGTGAGCCGATGCAATTCTAAATTCTCCTTGGAGGCAACAAACTAACCCATCAGGGAGATATCTGTAAGCTTTCTCTCTTGTTCCTGTGCATGTTTGCTACATGCATGGGGTTCTTTTATGTGGGAGGGGGTGCTTAAAAATCTGGCACCCCTCCTGTAAAATGGTTGCAATCTTAAGGTCCCCCACCTCTTGCTTAATATGCAGAGATTTGCTCTTATATTACATTTAATTGCAACAGAAAGAGGCAGTGTGGTAAGGGGTCAGACTAGGAGCTGGGAGACCAGATTTCAAATCCCCACTGGGTGACCTTGGGCCAGTCACTGCCTCTCAGCCTAACCTACCTCACAGGGTTGCTGTGAGGATTAAATGAGGAGGGGGAGAACCATGCTTGCCACCTTGAGCTTGAAAGATGGGATGGAGGTGCCATAAGTCATAAAACAAATATTTACTTTATTTTCCACATACACCATATGGAATCATAACCTTGCTTTGGCGTTTTGGAGTTTGTATGGATGTCATGCATGGATTTCTGGTGGGGTTTTCTTCTTCTTCTTCTCTTCAATGGACATTACATCACTAGGATCTCGAAGGTGCTAATGTTTGAGCTGGCTCTGCCATGTCCCTTCTACAAGAATTGAAGATCAGTGTGTGCTGTGGTGTAACTTAGATATTAGCCAGCCTGCTTACAAGGAAGCAGGCCACTACCGTATTGTATAAATATTACCTCATTTACTGTCAACAGTTGCAGGCTCCTTTCCCTCCCCTTCTAAGTATGTGACTAATTGGGAAGAACGAGTTTCGCCGCCTTGCCAGGAAACTGCCTTGCCAGGAAACAGGGCAAGAGGCATTTAGCAATTTATTTAGCCAACCCCGTCCCAAGAGCTGGGATCTATTTCCTATGAATTAAAAGGCTGCAGCTCGGATGCAATGTGCAAAGCTGCCTTTTGGCACCTTATAAGCTTGGGCCGCCATTTTGTTGATGCGCTTTTAAGTACTGTGTTTTTTCAGCCACGGGATGAGGGGCCCCCTTCAGGGAGTCGCACGACCAATTCGGAGCCAAAATCTGCCCTCCAGTTTCTCCAAATGTGGAGATGTGCACTCACATGCGTGCATGTGAAAGAGGCTTCCATTTTGCCATCTCATTCCCCGAGCACTATAGAAATTATTATTATTATTATTATTATTTATTTATTTATTTATTTATACCCCACCCATCTGGCTGGGCTTCCCCAGCCACTCTGGGCAGCTTCCAAAAAAATATTAAAATACTGTAATACATCAAACATTAAAAGCTTCCCTAAACAGGGCTGCCTTCAGATGTCTTCTAAAAGTCTAGTAGTTGTTGTTCTCTTTGACTTCTGGTGGGAGGGCGTTCCACAGGGCGGGTGCCACTACCGAGAAGGCCCTCTGCCTGGTTCCCTGTAACTTGGCTTCTCGCAGTGAGGGAGCCACCAGAAGACCCTCGGAGCTGGACCTCAGTGTCTGGGTAGAACGATGGGGGTGGAGACGCTCCTTTAGATATACTGGACCGAGGCCGTATATCCAGTATTATAATTATCATTTATAACTTCAGTGGGTGCGGGTTTGAGCTTGCTTTATCATTGCAAAGTGGCTCAAAAGTACCACGAAGAAGGAGCCACTCAGAGGAGTATCACAATGACACATTTAATCCAAAACACATTTAATCCAAAACACAATGAAGTGGGGGGGGGGCATGCAACAGGCTGCTTCTTGTAATACAGAACTGAAACAAATCTGCACGCTGCCTTAGAGCTGACTCTGCATTTCCTGGTATGGCAAGCCAGGAGGCCCAATACACCACAGTGGCCAAGGATGGCATGTGTGTTTTTCTTTCCAATGAACATTTATCCTATTCTTTGCAGCCTCCCTGGCTGCCCACACTTAAACAAAGCAAAACATGGGAGCAGTTTCACTGTGGAACACAAGCACCCGAGAAGGCTGTTGAGATGATGGTGGTGATTATTATTGTTATTAAAATTTGTACACCGTCCTATACCCACAGGTCTCAGGGCAGTTACAACATAAAATCACAATATAAAAACACAAAATACATAATAAAAAGAAAAACAACCCCCGTCCCAACACATTTTACAAGGGCATTGGATTATTTGCAGAATGAAAGGACACTCATTAACACCCTCTCCTACCACCTAAAAAGTAATACATTCATACCTTGGGTTACAGATGCTTCAGGTTGCGCGTTTTCAGGTTATGGACGCGCCGAAACCTGGAAGTACCAGAATGGCTTACTTCCGGGTTTCGGGGCTCGCGCATGTGCAGAAGCGCTAAATTGCACTTTGTGCGTGCGCAGAAGCACCGAATCACAACCCACGCGTGCACAGACGTGGCGCTGTGGGTTGCGGACGCTGCAGGTTGCGAACGTGCCTCCCATATGGATCACATTTGCAAGCCAAGCATCCACTGTAAAGGTACAACAAAAAATTCACACCAGACCCATGAGAATTTCACACACACACACACACACACACACCTTTGCTAATTCTTGAATACAATCTATTTTCCATTAATATTTGTTTGTTGCATTCATATCCCACCTTTTCCTCAAAGGAGGTCAAGGTGGCGTACATAGTTCTCCCCCTCAATTAATCCCCACAACTACCCTGTGAGGTAGGTTGGACTGAGTAGTAGTGACTGGCCCAAGCTCACCCAGGGAGCTCCATGGCCCAGTGGGGATTTGAAACTAGGCCCGCTGGAGTCCTGGTCCAATACGCTAACCATTACGCCACACTTGCTCTCAATCAATTTGTCAGTGGAGAATGGTGCCCAAAAAAAGTTTGAGAACTTTTCAGCACTGCTTGTAACAGATAAAACCAAACATCATGGGAACAAAAGTAAAATGCTTAGGGCGGAGAATACTGTTGCCCTCAGGTCCTGCTGATGGGTTTTTCATAGGCATCCAAGATGACCACGATGAGAGCAGGATGCTGGACTAAAATCGGCCTTGGGTTTGATCTAGCATGGATGTTCTTACGTTCTTATGCTTGAGGAATTCCATTTCTGTCAATGCCAAAGCAAACTGCCCAAACTAATGTGCAGACTGGAATATAATTATCCTTCAGATTTCACACATCTCTGAATTTTGCATTGCAGTTTTTGGCTCAAAAAAGAAAAAAAAGGTACCAAAACGTGCTTTAAAATGCATTTTTCAGGATATGCTACTCTCAGAAATGCATAGGTGGAGATGAAATATTTCTATATAGATGTGCATTTTCTAACAAAATACCATTTGAAGGCATAGAAGTGGTCTTCAAATGGTGCCGCCACTGGGGGCCCAACCCACTCCCTCAGCACTCCCCACAGTGTTTTTTTCATCTGCATTGAAATTGATCATGAAATTAATTACACAATTAATGTGTTTATTTCAACAGCCATGGATAATGAGAAGAACAAAGTAGGTTTTATAAGAAGCCGAACTGCAGCAAAATGGAAACAGCACTGCTTGCAATGACTATCAGGGCCCTGAACTTAGCCCAGGAGCTAACCGGAAACCTATGCAAGTCTTTCAAAAGTTTTCATAGGTTGGCAGCATTCTGCCCAGAGAACAGCTGCTGCGTTTTGGAATCATTGCATCTTCCCAGATCAGTGTCAAGAGCTGCCCCACACAGCGCACATTGCAGTAATCTAGTCTGGAGGTTACAAGACTGCTCCAGAAACAGCCCATCCCTAAATATAGTAACAAAATAACTAAGTGCAGCTGGGGAATCTATCATAAAATAACTGTGTTAGTCCACAAGGGCCTGTTGGAACAAAAAATTCATTTCATGGAACAGGCCCAACAACCCCTCTGGGTTTCCTCAAAGGCAGACCACACAAGGAAACATGCTTCCATGCACAGATTGCCTGGCACCTGTGGCGAAATTCTCAGGCAGATGTTGTTAGCGCAAATCACCACCATAGAATCATAGAGTTGGAAGAGACCACAAGGGCCATCGAGTCCAACCCCCTGCCAAGCAGGAAACACCATCAGAGCACTCCTGACATATGGTTGTCAAGCCTCTGCTTAAAGACCTCCAAAGAAGGAGACTCCACCACACTCCTTGGCTGCAAATTCCGCTGTCGAACAGCTCTTACTGTCAGGAAGTTCTTCCTAATGTTTAGGTGGAATCTTCTTTCTTGTAGTTTGGATCCATTGCTCCGTGTCCGCTTCTCTGGAGCAGCAGAAAACAACCTTTCTCCCTTCTCTATGTGACATCCTTTTATATATTTGAACATGGCTATCATATCACCCCTTAACCTCCTCTTCTCCAGGCTAAACATGCCCAGCTCCCTTAGCCGTTCCTCATAAGGCATCTTTTCCAGGCCTTTGACCATTTTGGTTGCCCTCCTCTGGACACGTTCCAGTTTGTCAGTGTCCTTCTTGAACTGTGGTGCCCAGAACTGGACACAGTACTCCAGGTGAGGTCTGACCAGAGCAGAATACAGTGGCACTATTACTTCCCTTGATCTAGATGCTATACTCCTATTGATGCAGCCCAGAATTGCATTGGCTTTTTTAGCTGCCGCGTCACACTGTTGGCTCATGTCAAGTTTGTGGTCAACCAAGAGTCCTAGATCCTTTTCACATGTACTGCTCTCAAGCCAGGTGTCACCCATCTTGTATTTGTGCCTCTCATTTTTTTTGCCCAAGTGCAATACTTTACATTTCTCCCTGTTAAAATTCATCTTGTTTGTTTTGGCCCAGTTCTCTGATCTGTCAAGGTCGTTTTGACCAAGTGCTGTAAGTTTCATTCGATGGATGCAGAATAAAAAAGGTAAAGGACCATTGAACAGTTAAGTCCGGTCAAAGGCACTCATCTCCCTTTTAGGCTAAGGAAGCTGGCATTTGTCCACAAACAGCTTTCCAGGTCATGTGGCTGACATAACTAAACCACTTCTGGAGCAACGGAACACCGTGATGGAAACCAGAGTGCACAGAAACACTGTTTACCTTCCCGCCACAGCAGTACCTATTTATCTACTTGCACTGGCGTGCTTTCAAACTGCTAGGTTGGCAGGAGCTGGAACAGAGCAGCGGGAGCTCGCTCCGTCGCCGGGATTCGAACCACAACCTTCTAACTGGCAAGCTCAAGAGGCTCAGTGGTTTAGATCACAGTGCCACCCGCATCCCTACATGCAGAATATGCTTGCTTGGGTACTCGAGGAAATAGAGAACACCCATATAGTACCAGTTGCACTGGTTGCCAATGTGTGTCCAGGCCTGATTCAAAACGCTACTGATGGCTAGGGGATAAGGAGCTTGCACGCTGAACGTAGGCTGGTGCTGAAATCTTTTAAGCTCCACGCCTTGCTTGGGAGGTGAGCCCCACTCAACTCTGGGAGGCTCTTCTTGCGAGATCTGGTAGGGCCATCTGAGTTCCCGCGAAATCTCGCGTGGGTACCCCTGGCATTCCAAAGCTGGCACACTGAGAAGGCCCTGCTCAACTGCGCGTGGTTAAAATTGTGCAGGTTAACTACATGTAAGATGCTTCCGTGCTGCGTTTCAGAAAAAGAAAAGAAACTATGAGTTACCTGTGGGTTGTGAGCAAGGTTGGGTATAAAGGTAAATGTAAAGGGTAAAGGGACCCCTGACCATTAGGTCCAGTTGCGGACAACTCTGGGGTTGCGGCGCTCATCTCGCTCTATAGGCCGAGGGAGCCAACATACAGCTTCTGGGTCATGTGGCCAGCATGACTAAGCCACTTCTGGCGAATCAGAGCAGCACACAGAAACGCCATTTACCTTCCTGCCGGAATGGTACCTATTTATCTACTTGCACTTTGTGCTTTTGAACTGCTAGGTTGGCAGGAGCAGGGACCGAGCAACGGGAGCTCACCCCGTCGTGGGGATTCGAACCGCCGACCTTCTGATCGGCATGCCCTAGGCTCTGTGGTTCGGGGGTGGGAACTTACCAGACTCAGGGTATACCATTATGTGCATAGAGCTTTGGTGTGCTTCCAGACAAGTATTTATTGTAGGATCGGCACAGCTCAGCATGCAAGTTTTCGGCAGAGTCCACATCATATCATGGGCATCAAAATTCTAGCCTGCATTCCAACACCACCTCATTTAACCCGGAATTTTCAAGGAAAAGCCAATTCTCTCTTTGAAAAAACAACACCTGTTGCCATTGACCTGTTTGTCTGAATGACCCATTCACAATATCAAGTCCCTACCTGGAAGCACCCTGAATTCTGATTTATACACATTAGTCTGAGAGGTGCGAATCAGGTCAATTAGTGTAGGAATTAACAAATATCAAATTCCTCAAGCATTCCTAAAACAGAGCAAAACATTTCACGATAGCCGGTGGGTAAACAAGTTGGAAATGAAGTTGCAAGGTTGAATGGCGATTCAATAGCGTCCAACATGTGCTCAAATTTTGATGCTCTCCTTACTCTGTAGTTTCCCCTCCCTTTTCAGGGGAACATTAAAATTTTACTGTATTGGGGGGGAGGAAAGAAATCAAAATTCTCAAGCATTGGGGTGTTAGACAAGAGTAATAAACCCCAGAATGAATAACTCCAAACTGGTAATTTTAATCACAGAAGCACAAAGAACTCAGAGAGTTTGATAATGAACATAAAATATTGTGGCCATTAAAATATAAAAAAAGTTCACCGTCCTTCCATTCCAATTTACTTCCCTATAAATCAGGGAGCAATTTAATCAAATATTCTTCCACTTTAATTGTTTTTACCCTGCTTTTATGTTAAATTTCACTGAGTTACTGCCGGCACAAGGGTTCACATTATTTGGGGAGGGGGGGAAATGTCAGTGGATGGGCAGGAATTAGTATAAAATTCAAACATTAGGTCTGAACACTGAAGGGCGTGTTGGGCAAGGCTTGGCAAAACAGATCCATGAAAGAGGGTGTATCTGGGTTAAGAAAATCACACCCATTCGCCTTTCCATAGCCCAGGATGAAGAACCATTCTCAGCCTGCTGCTGCCTTCCCTTTTGGATAACTATTTGGGAGCCAGGGGCTCAGCAGGGTCAGAGACAAAAGTGGTTAGAGGTGAGGGTAGCTAGGTAAAAGGGTAAGGTAAAGGGATCCCTGACCATTAGGTCCAGTCGTGGCCGACTCTGGGGTTGTGGTGCTCATCTCGTTTTATTGGCCGAGGGAGCTGGTGTACAGTCATGTGGCCAGCATGACTAAGCCACTTCTGGTGAACCAGAGCAGCGCCGTTTACCTTCCCGCCAGAGCTGTACCTATTTATCTACTTGCACTTTGACGTGCTTTCGAACGGCTAGGTTGGCAGGAGCAGGGACCGAGCAACGGGAGCTCACCCCGTTGCGGGGATTCAAACCGCCAACCTTCTGATCGGCAAGCCCTAGGCTCTGTGGTTTAACCCACAGCACCACCCGTGTCCCTTCGTGAGGGTAGCTGATGGTTCTAAAACCCTCGTTGACGTAGGGACTTCCTCTGCATGCGAACACAGGCTCCAGCAGATTAAGCAGACAAGACCAATAGCAGGACCAACAGTCAGGAAGGCGGTTTCTGCATGTTGCTCCCCATGAATGATGTATGTCTAAAATGCCCTTAAATTGTTCTGCCTGGGAGCTACAGTTCCCAGCCACCTTGTGCAACAGTTTAGGAATTAGAAAAGTGAATGTTCTCTCTCTCTCTCTCTCTCTCTCTCTCTCTCTCTCTCTCTCTCTTATCAGGCAGGCAGCCCTATTTCAAAGCCCTGCCAAATCTGCAGAGAACAAGGAAGTTTCAGAATGTGCAGGTCTTTAGCCTAATATA